CTTCGCAGAGGGGTAGGGGCAGCCCGGTGAGTACCTGGAGCTTAGGACGTGATGATGCTGTTAGGGACGAGTGAACTCTAAGGGCTGCCAGCCAGTGGACCTGTGATCACCACCCTTAGTAGTCCGTTTCCACTGGGTCTTGTTTCTGGGGATGCTTGGGAGGTTAGTGGGGAAAGCTTCCCGCAGAGGGAAGGATGGTTTCCTGCTGCATCTGTCACAGGAAACTGTGTCTGCCTAGGCTCTGGGGTTCAAATGGGCCTACTTCTTGAGGGAAATTGCTGCGGTTATGCAATACAGGGAGGGTGAAGTTTTGTCTTTGTGTCCCTGTGTAGTACTTGTGAGTCTGTGTGTAGATGCAGCAGGGTGGGCTCAGGGCAGAAGGGCAGAGCTCCTCAGTGTGTGTGTGGGGGGGGGAAGATGAGTACTAAAAATAGTCTACTAATGCCTGGCATACTATTCTAGGGCCCGCTGAAACCAGCCACTCTCCCGTAGGAGTTCTTAACCTAGATTCACAGACCCCCCTCCAAGAGGGCCTTAGATAGAATTCAAAGGGTCCAAAAATACAGATGGGGCAAACAATCACCTTTCTATTCCCCTAATCTCTAACTGAAATTTACTATTTCCTTCAAGGATGAATGCAGGCAGCAAATGGCAGTAGTATTACTAGTTCCTGTAACTTGGTCACCAGAAGAAATCATAGATATTCCCTATCATATTACAGTTGCAGCAGAGATCTGGAAATGTCATTTATACTCATAATCACTTAGAAATTATTAGTAGATCTTGTTATTTAACGTGTTGGTAAAGAACTTCTATTACCATATCATGCAGTTTTAAAAATATTTTGATAGTTGTATTTCAATATAATTGGTTTCCTTTAATTCTATATATTTTATGTATTAAAAATCATTCTGAGAGGGGACCAGAGACTTAGCCAGATTGTCACAGGGGCCAATGCCACCGAAAAAGGGTTTAAAACCCCTGCACTTTGGGGAGCAGGACGAGGATCTTTGCACAAAATGGTCACACATAGAAACTCTTTGATTAATAAACCACAGGACGGTGAGATTAGACAAAAGATGAGGTAGGTTTTTTATCCTATCTAATGAGATGAGGCACAATTCACTCAAGTGCCCAAGGTAGCTGGGGTCATGCCTTGTTCTCTCTCTGGAGGCTCATTATATGGGCTCTGAAGTGGGCTCATCGTATGACCTTGGTGACAGCTTCAGCATTTCCCTTCACACTCCCTTTCCTCTTCATTTCTCTGAACACAACTCCCCCAAATAAAATAGTAAGGAGAGAATCCCTACTGGCTGTCAGAAGAAATGATTTGTAAAGCAACCTATGATTGAGATCCTGGAATCCAGTATGACCCTCAAACTTGAGGATCCTGAGAGCTACAATATGACTGTTTGAGGCAAGGGGGAGGGGTATGTGTTTACTTTTCAGGTGGCTGAGTTCTTGCTAATGAGACAACTGTCAATAACAGCCATGTGACCTTAGTAAAAAGTCTCTGCTCTCCTCTAAGCCTTGGTTTTCCCATCTCTAAATTGAAGAAATTAAAGGAAATAATTTATTATGTGCATTCCATCTCTGAAGTTATAGAGCTTTAACCTCAGGAGGGAGCAACAGCCATAGAAATTAGATACCTAAGTAATAATAAAAATTATAGTGAAAATAGTTACTGAGTACTACATACAGGTGGTATTCTAAACATTTAAGATGTATTGATATTAACTCATTTAATCCTAACAATAACCCTCTGAGGCAGATACTACTATCATACTACTTTACAGATGAAGGAATAGGCACAGAGAGATTAAATGATCTGCCCTAGATCACACAACTACTAATTGGTAGAGCTGAGATTGAAGCAGAATCCTAGACTATGTTTTACCACTTCCATATATGGCTTCTCAATCTGCACTGGGGGCAAAACAGACCTATATAGAAGGAGTTATGATATAGTGTGATGACTGCTATAGTACTATTAAGAGCAAAGACTCAAGGAACTAACCCATTAGAAGGAGTTACATGTGACAGAAGGAAGCATGATGTATATCAACAGCCATCATTTCTCTTCCCTTATCAGTGAATCTTGGGGTATAAATAGAGGAGTGGTAGGAAATGAGGCTGGAGATATTGGCCAAGGTTTTCTCATGAAGGACCTGTGAGCCTGGCAAGGCATCTGGGCTATACTCTGAAAGAAAGGGGAGTGATTAAAGGATTTAAAATAGAAGATTGGCACAGAGAGGATTTGTACTTTTAAATGATCACTTTAGCCAAAATGTGGAGAAATTATTGAAAAGATAAACTAGCTAGGAGACTACTACAACAGTTGATGCAAAAGATGATGGGGGTCTGGATAAAGCACTAGCAATCGGGTTGCTTATAGAGGCCTCTAGGAAGTAAAATCCTAGATTTGATGACCAATTAGATGCGAGTGGAACAATGAGATAAGAGGCCTGACATTAGTCTTGAGCGTTTGGTTTGGTTGACCAGTTGGATGATGAAGAACTGAGATGTGGATCTAGTTTGGTGATGGTGATAGTAGTAGTGGTGGTGTGATACTGCTGACTTTGAAGTACTTGAAAGAACTCAGTGAATACATACCTTTTGCTGAAGAGAGAGCTGGGGGACTTGGAGTGGTAGGCTTGAAATCATCCTGATAAAGGTGAGAGCTACAGCTCTAGAAAAAGGAGAGAACAAGGGGAACAAAACTATTTCAGGGGAGAAAAATCAGAAGAGTGTGCTGGCCAGGAAGCCAAGGAAGGCCAGGAAGCCTCCTATGAAGTGGTCAGTGGAGACAGATGTCCCAGAAAAGTCAGAAAAGGAAAGAGCTGAGAAACAGCCAGTAGATTTAACCACAAGGATGACTTTTAAAGAAATATCTCTGTGTGATTGAGGATGGATGGAGATAGACTGCAGAGGGTGGAATTGGAGGTGAGGAAATGGATGGTAGACAACGCTTTGGAGATGTTTGGTGAAAAAGAGAGAGAAGAAAAGAAAGGTAGCTAGAGTAGGACAAAGGACCATAGAAGTGTTTTGTTTCCAAAGATGATTGAGGGGGAGGAGCCAGGGGAGAGGTTGAAGGCACATAGGAAGCTCACCCTTGAAGATCTAGTATATGGTAGCTTTCTTTCTCTTAACAGCCCCATGAGGCAGGGACTATCATTTCTGTCTTATAAATGAGGAAACTGAATCCCAAAGAAGGGAATAGACTTTCCCAAAGCTTACTCAGATAGGAAATGGGGGTGCTGAGTTGCAAACTTAGGCCTGCCTGATTTCTAAAATTATCTTCTTATAATTGTACCCCAAAAGTGAGTAAATAAAAGACCATATATGGAGTTGATGCTGACTTGTGGCAGGGGGGCTAAAGTTGAGGGAGACCCCACCCACCCACCTCAAAGTTTATTCTATGAGGTGTGTATTTGAGGTCCCAGGCTAACAAAGAGGGGTGGAGGTGGACAGTGAATAAAAGGAGGTGTGAGGCCCTGAGCCCAGGGCTGCAGGGTATGGGAGAAGAGGGAGACTCAACCTCTGAAAACCCTACCAGCTTACCCTGATGACATTACCAACTGAGATGAGTGACTGATTTTGGAGCATTAGGAACAGGACTAGAAATGCCAAGGGTTTAGGTTGAGTCAGTCATTGGGCCATGGGTGATTTTGTAGGGCCTGGGGATAATGAGGAGAGAAGAGTTGAGGGTTGAGGCAAGGCTCCAGGCTGGGTGGAACAGAGAGGATGGGAAAAGGCTTGACTCGGAGAGACTGGGAAGCCATAGTTTCCAAAAATATGCTGGCAATCAAAGGGACTCCTGGATTGAAATGGTCCTGGTGGAAAAACTAGTTGTCAACAGAGAGGAGGACTTGTCCTGGAAACCTCAACTATTTCCTACTATCTCTTTGACTATGTTTTACTTGACGTCCCTTTTACTTTTACTTTTAATGTCACCTCTTTATTTAATCAGTGAATGCCATTCAACATCCATTTCCTGAGCAACCCTGTTGCCTGAAGCATGGGGCCTGAGTCTGAGGGGAGGTCACATACGAGGGGCTGTGAAGAGGCTGAATCTCATCTAAAAGGTTGAGAGGTAGAGTTGAGGGCCTGCCCCATGAGACTGATGTCAGAATGCTCAGAGATGACAGCTTGACACCACAAAACACCATTCTGTTGGCTTAGCAATTACCAGACCAGAACCACCTCATTAGTCCACACATTCTGAACCAAGGAAGATGTATCTACCAACACCCCAGCCATGATGTAGGTTCTACTGGGAGTGGAGGAATAATAAGATGGAGACAGTGGCTTCCCTGGTGGCACAGTGGTTGAGAGTCTGCCTGCTAATGCAGGGGACACGGGTTCGAGCCTTGGTCTGGGAGGATCCCACATGCCACGGAGCAACTAGGCCCGTGACCCACAACTACTGAGCCTGCGTGTCTGGAGCCTGTGCTCCGCAACAAGAGAGGCCGCCATAGTGAGAGACCCGTGCACCACAATGAAGAGTGGCCCCCGCTTGCCACAACTAGAGAAAGCCCTCGCACAGAAACAAAGACGCAACACAGCAAAAATAAATAAATTAATTAATAAACTCCTACCCCCAACATCTTCTTTAAAAAAAAAATAATAAGATGGAGACAGGAGTCCTCACCCTGGAGTTTATGCACTGATGAAGCACAGATAAGTGGAAATGTGATGTGAAAATTCATAGCTAAAGCCTAGTTGTAATCCTTTGGAATCCCTGAGCAGAGTAGGAGGAGATTATGGAAGGTTTCCCAGAAGTAGGAGTTTGAAGGGAAGGCAGAAGAGCATATGCAAAGGCATCAGGCTGTGAAATGGCCTGATCTATTTTGGCAGCCATCTCTGGGGTCTGAAATAAGATGGAGTAGGAGTTAGAAGCAAGGGACCCATGATTGAAGAGCCTGATGGTGAAAGATGGGGGCCAAGCATCCAGGCTTTTGATGGGAGCCCTCAGTCTCTCCTGTTTTTGTCATCCACAGATCTGGCATATCCTCCTGCTCATAATGAGAATAGTTCTGCTCCAATTAGCCAAGGTGAACCTCATGGACATCACCAAAATCTTCTCCCTCCTGCAGCCCGATAAGGAGGAGGAGGACACCGACACGGGGGAGAAGCAGGCTCTCAATCAAGCAGTGTACAACAATGACTCTTATACCTTGGACCAGCTTTTGCGCCAGGAGCGTTATAAACGATTCATCAACAGTAGAAGTGGCTGGGGCATCCCTGGGACACCCTTGCGCTTGGCTGCTTCTTATGGCCACCTTAGCTGCTTGCAGGTCCTCCTGGCACATGGTGCTGATGTTGACAGCTTGGACGTCAAGGCACAGACACCACTTTTTACCGCCGTCAGTCATGGCCATCTGGACTGTGTGCGTGTGCTTTTGGAAGCTGGTGCTTGTCCTGGTGGTAGCATCTACAACAACTGCTCTCCTGTGCTCACAGCTGCCCGTGATGGTGCTGTTGCCATCCTGCAGGAGCTCCTGGGTCATGGTGCAGAGGCCAACGTCAAGGCAAAACTACCAGTCTGGGCATCGAACATAGCTTCATGTTCTGGACCCCTCTATTTGGCTGCAGTCTACGGTCACCTTGATTGTTTCCGCCTGCTTTTGCTCCATGGGGCAGACCCTGACTACAACTGTACTGACCAGCACCTGCTGACTCGAGTCCCACGGTCCCGCACCCTCCTCGAAATCTGCCTGCACCATAATTGTGAGCCAGAGTACATCCGGCTGTTAATTGATTTTGGTGCTAACATCTACCTTCCATCTCTCTCCCTGGACCTGAACTCACAATATGATAAGGGCACTGCATTGCTGCTACAGGCCCGAGGTGAGTGTCATGCAGCCCAGCTCTAATAGGCCTCCTGGCTTGGAGGGCCGAGGGCCCCAAATCACCCCCCAAGCTAATCCTTCTGGGATGAGTTGGAGAAAACATCATCTTCTTCCCTGGGGCCCCAGTGGAGAAGAGGTTACAGATTCCTTTTTAGGGAAGGGATCACTAAGATGAGGTAGGGGATAGCACTAGTCCAGTTTCTTCTTCTGGCATTGCCCATGACTGTTTTGTGGCCTTGAACATGACCTCTCTAGGCCTCAGTGTGTCCCCATTGGTACCATGCATTGAGGGAAGGGAGGGGACATTTCTTAGAAGGGAGAGAGCAATTAGGGCTGCAGTAGCCAGGACAGGATGGATGTAAGCTTGGATGGGAGAACTACACTGAGAATTGCTTCTCATGACCTGTTTTTCCTTCCTGTAGCCACTCCACGGTCACTACTATCACAGGCTCGTTTAGTCATCCGCAGAGCCCTGCGCCACGCCAGCCAGCCACAAGCCATCGACCAGCTGGATATTCCTCCTGTGTTGATCAGCTATCTTAAACACCAACTGTAACCTTGCAGCCTGCCCAGAAACACACAATGCCTCCAAAAAACCACCTGGGGACCCAGGTAACTTGAGGGCACTACAGCTCTACCCACTCGTCTGAAGCTGCTCTCCTGTATTATCCTCCACAATAAAATCCTCAACAAAATAAATCCTGGGGGCTGTTGTGTTGATGTGTGTGTGGGGTGGGGAAGTTCACCGGGGGAACGGGTCTGGTTGGCCATGGGGAAGGATTAGAGTGATCTGGCATTCAACAGGCGTAGGAGCCTAGCCACTGAAAGAGAAAACTAACCCAATGGCCTATACATCCCCACTAAGATCCTTGAGAGAATTTGGAGCTGTAATGTCCTAGAAGCAAGTCCTGAAGAATTCAGGTAGGTATAAGGGTAGCATCATCTTGCTCAGCCCTGTATCTCCATTGAATCTCTGGCTGCTATTGTCACCAAACCAAACTTGGGTCCACAGCCAATCTACTGACACCGGGTTGTGGTGAAGTAAAGGGGCTTCACCCTTTTCAGGGGCTGTTGCCCAATACCCTATTTGAGTCAAGTGACCAAGGAGTCTCCCATTCACTCACCTTGAATCATAGGCTGCAATTACACTAGTCTATTTTATATAGGAAACTAGGAAAACAAACTACCAAATATTTGTCACAACGAATTTAACACAGAGAATAAATTGGTTACATAGGTGATAGGCAGAGAATCTAAGAAGGACAGGAAGTTAACCCAGAGTTTAGTGACAGCAGGAGGCCAACATCACCCTTAGGTTGGAGGGGTGAGGGAGGAGGTATGGCCAGACTCTAGGGACAGGGGTCACCTGATAGAAAGTAGAATCACAGGCTTATCATGGGTATCCAAACAAGAGAAAAGGAAGAAATACCCTCTCCTTTCCCTCATTCTTGTCCTTCAATCTGCTTTCAATGTCTGTTTCACTGAGGAAAACTAGAAGTCAACTAATATGAGAGCCTGGGAAACACAGCCTGCAGTGCTTAGTCCTCCTAACTGGTCCAGGCAACCAGGGCCTCAATCAGCACATATAACCACCCAAATCCAGATCCAGGCACCTTCAATTTTGCTAAATCTTCATCTTTCCACAGTACCTTCTTTTATATCTCCTAAACCACTATGGGTGAGGATGTGTATGAGCAGTGAAAAAGACACAAGGTGAAGGGGTAGAGGATGCAAGCCCAGATAATCTGTATATGGGGAGTACTTTAGATGTTTGGAGCTTTTCCTGGGAGCTGCCTTGACAGACCCACCCCCCACGCCCCTACATAAATATCTCCCATCATGCAGGAAGGGAGGCAGGGAATGGGGTCTTGAACTGACTTGCCTCTCCCCATTCTTACCTCTCCCACTCTCCCTAGCTCCTAGTGCCTAAGAGACTTTAGGAAGGAAGGCAAGAATACTGGACATCTATCCCCATGGTCCTGCCCCACTCAGCTTCCAGACTTTCAAATGCATAAAGCATTTTGGAGAGCAGTGCAACTGTTTTTCTCCAAGGGGCAAGAGAACTGAAGGACTGGACTGTAAACACAGACTTTAGGGCAGTGAGCTGCAGGTCTCTTCTACCTTTCTTTCAATCTGGGTTCCTGAGGGTGAGTTATCTGGGATTGCACTCCTCACTTTGCTCCCCATCCCCTTAGTCAGGGTTTAGGAGATTAGGAGTCAAGCTCAGCAGCTCCATCTACTTTAGGACCCCAGGAAAGTACACCCTTCAAATGGGGCCTGGCCAGGGTGGCCTCCCTTGTGCCATCTGGAACACCAATTCTCTGGTTGACACTTGAAAGTATGTAGATAACTCTGGGCATATCAAAAGAATTGCATTTGACTAGGATGTAGGAGTATACCAAATTCTAGGCAGAGGAAGAGCTGAAACTCTTTGCCCCATTTCCCAGATGAGCAGACTGAGAAACTTTCAAAGTTAAGTGCCCATGTTATTGGCAGCTCAGCTCTCCAGACCTCTCTGAGCTGTTGTTCTTCCAGTTGCCTGTGCTGCTGTGGGCAGAAACTTTAAGGCCCGCTGCCTTGGTTTCTTCTCCATCCAGACAACAGGCCTGGAGTGAAAATGGATCATCTCAAATTCTGATGATGAATCTTCTGAGGCAAATTTCCCTAGGAGGTGCGAGGAGGAGGTTCCTAGAATGAAATGTCACCCTTGGCCTTTAGTCTCTTATTGGCATTGCCCCCAGATAATAACCTAGCCTCCCCAAACCCTCCATTACAACCACCAGTTTCCAGGTAATTTGTTTTCCCAGTTAGATCTTGACTGTAAACTGAACAAGTGGGAATGCAGCTTCCAAGAAAGCTGAATCTTAACCCTTCTCTCCCTCTCTCCCTGTCTCCTCCTAACTTCCCTTTTTTCCTTCTTTCTTCTCTCCCTCTCTCCTTCCCTCCCTCCCTTCCTGGAATTGCCATTAGCCTAGGGCTGGATCTGCTCTGCACATGCCACTGACCAGTCTGCATTCTTTCCTGCAATGGGAAAATTCTTTCGCTTTATTCAGAAAGGTGGCCCACAAAGACAAGATCCAAAGTGCAAATGGTCCACTGTACTGCAGAAACCACAGAGTTCCCCTTCAGCTGCTAACTTGAGGGAAAGGATAATGGAAGAGGTAGTGTTTGATCTTGGCCTTGAAGGGTGTAAAGTGTTTTAATTAGTAGAAAGGAAAGAAAAGGTATTAGTGGAGGGAACTCAGTGAGCAAAGACATAGAAGTGGGAAAAAGCAGGGCAGTTTGGGTAACCAATTTAGTCTGGTTCAAGTTCAATGTGTTTCAACAAGAGCTAGGCTGGGGACTAGACTGGAGAGGGCCCTGAATATCCTGGTCTTTCGGACTTGAAGATTTCAGTCCTTAGAATGGGGCATGCATAGTCATAGGAATGACTTACTGAATGCATAGAGAACATGTTCCCTGATTTCCCAGGGCAAATCTGGCACAATTACATTTTTTACTGAAATATAACTGACATACAACATTATATTAGTTCCAAGTGTACAACATAAGAATTCAATATTTGTGTATATTGTGAAATAATCACCACAACAAATCTAGTTAACATCTATCACCACAGAGTTACAATTTTTTTCTTGTGATGAGAACTTTTAAGATCTATTCTCTTAGCAACTTTCAGATAGGCAATACAGTATTATTAACTATATTCACCATGTTGTACATTACATCCTCATGACTTATTTATTTTATAACTGAAAGTTTGTCCCTTTTGACACCCTTCACCCATTTTGTCCACCTCCAACCCCTGCTCTGGCAACCACCAATCTGTTCTCTGTGTGTATAAGCTCGCTTTTTTTTTTTTAATTTTAGATTCTACATATAAGTGAAATCATATAGTATTTGTCTTTCTCTGAATTATTCACTTAGCAAAATGCCCTCCAGTTCAATCCATATTGTTGCAAATGACAAGATTTCATTATTTTCTATGGCAAAATGATATTCCAGTGTGTGTGTGTGTGTGTGTGTGTGTGTGTGTGTGTGTGTGTGTGTGCGCGCGCGTGCGCACATCACATTTTCTTTACCCATTCATCCATTCTTGAACACTTAGGTTGCTTCCATGTCTTGGCTATTGTAAATAATGCTGCAGTGAACATGGAACAGTGAACACATATCTAGTGTGCACATATGCAGTGAACACATATCTAGTGTCTTTGTTTTCTTTGGATAAATACACATAAGCAGGATTGCTTGATCATATGGGAGTTCTATTTTTAATTTTGAGGCACCTCCATACTTTTTTACATAGTGACTGCATCAATTTACATTCCCATGAGCTGTTCGCAAGGGTTCCATTTGTTCCACATCCTTGCCAGCATTTGATATTTCTTATCTTTTTGATAACAGCCATTTTAATAGGGGTGAGGTCATATCTCATTTTGGTTTTAATTTGCATTTCCCTGATGATTAGTGATATTGAACACCTTTCCATGTACCTGTTGTGCACCTGTATCTTCTTTGAAAAAATGTCTATTCAGGTCCTCTGCCCATTTTTTAATCAGGTTGTTTGTTTTTTTGATGTTGAGTTGTATGAGTTCTTTTGATATTTTATATTAACCCCTTATAGGATATATTGTTTGCAAGTATCTCCTCCCATTTGGTAGGTTGCTTTTTCATTTTGTTGATAGTTTCCTTTGCTGTGCAGAAGCTTTTTAGTTTGATGTAGTCCCACTTGTTTATTTTTGCTTTTGTTGCCTTTGCTTTTGTTGTCAAACCCAAAAAAATCACTGCCAAGACTGATGTCAAGGAGCTTACCACCTATGTTTTCTTTAAGGAGTTTTATGGCTTCAGGTCTTATGTTCAAGTCTTTAATCCATTTTGAGTTAATTTTTGTGTATGGTGTAAAATAGAGGTCCAGTTTCATTTTTTTGCATGTGACTCTCCAGTTTCATTTTTTTGCATGTGACATTTTTTTGCATGTGACTTTTTTTGCATGTGCCTTCCACTTCCCAGAGCAGGTAGAGGTCATTAGATGTGATATCATCAACTTTCCATAAATGGTCATCCCAACACCATTTATTGAAGAGACTGTCCTGTCCTCATTGTATATCTTGGCTCTTTGTCATAAATTAATTGACCATATATGCTTAGGTTTATTCCGGCAGCATTAATTTAACCACTCTCTTGTGGGCCCAGAGCATTTGACTGCTTGCAAAACATTTACACATCCATTATTTCATTTACTTCTATTATAACTCTGAGGTAGGCAGAACAGTTTTTGTACAGATGTGGAAACTAAGGCCCAGAGAAGGGAAGAAAGTTGCCCAAGGTCACACAGTGAGGCAATGGTAGAGCCAGAACTAGAACCCATGAGGCTTCTTGTCTAAGACAGGGCTTTCACAGGATACCATGTTCTGCCTCATATGTGAGTGGGAGCACTGGGGAAGACGGGGGCAAGCCCTGACTTCATTTCATAGGCCTGGGCAGTGGATATACAGGGCTCTCTCTTACTGAGAATGGTGGCAGCCCTTTAGTTGTCAGAGGCCCCAGCCCTTATCCCCATGATAGAACGGGCACTCAGGAGTAATGCAGCAATCAAGGAACAGTGGCGGTCCCAGGCACTGAGGATAGGCTAAAGGGTTTGGGGCAAGTCCAAAGTGAGGGTCTGGACATATGGGAGGAGCAGAGCTCTCCCTCTCCCT